CATCACTGTCGGTAGAAATTAAGAAAGAGAAAAGTAAACTGTCAAAATGTGTACATTTTGCAGCTTTGCTTAAGGTCTTGAGCATGTCTACGCACTGAGGTAAATCTACACCCTGGAGAAATAATGGAAAAAGAAAGGGGAAAGTTTGGTAAGGGTAAAAGGGTTTTGTGAAGGCAAATATGAAAATGACAGGATGCATTATATATAGCCATACTGTCTTATTAGTTTATTGCCTTATTTGAGCATTTTTCAATCTGGAACATATTTATCTTCACAAAAGGCTTTTGATAAAGGGAAGTTCCATTGTCTTCATACACTAAGAGGCAGTATTAAATTACCAGCCTACAATTATAAGATACAGCTTCTCCTATAAGCTAACATGAGCAGGGAGTTGCTCTGGACTGAGATGTCCATGTCAGGACATTATGAGTGTTGTTGTCTCACCTGGACCGGTGCTCTGCACTTCCTTTTCCTAGTGGAACAGGCCCACACTCTCATTGACTGATTTTGTATCTTGGACACAAAGCTCTGGAAACAGAAACACACTGTTTCACAGATAGAAATTCAATCTATTTGGCAGAAAACACAGCCACTTTTACACTCCCTGCCTGAATCTGGCAGTGCTGTGTCATGCGATCCAGTGCTACCCATGCTGGGGGCCAGTAGCTCAGCACTTGGCTTTGCTCTTGTGAATCGAAGGTGACCACAGTTCTGGGATAATAACAATAAATTGCTTTTTATTTGCAGTATCACATCACTTTGGTATTTACCTCAATTTCCAGGGTTGGTATCAGGAGAACAGATGTTAATTTTGAACAATTGCCTTTGTAGACATGATGGATCCATTTGGTGAGGAAATTAATGGGAAGACGATTACTTTTACTGAGCTAATAGGATCTGTCTTTTCTTTTCCTCATTGCAAACTGTTTCGTTGTCACTTTCCCTGTGTTGTTTCATTATATTAAATGGAGCCATTAAAATATTGCTCCCAAGTGTTTTTCTGTCCGTTGACTAATCACTGAAGAATAAAATATTTAAAGTTCAGTTATTTGGGTTTTTTTCCCAATAAGTTTACATGATTTATGCCTTTTCCATTTCCTGTGCACATTTAAAAAAAAATTCATTAGAAAGATTGGCAGTTCCCTGGACCCCCTTAGACATTAGTTAATGACTTATTTTCAGCTTCTTTCTACCCTTTGGTGTTACTTTTTCTTCCTGTTAAGATACATAGCAGATTGTTTTTTCCTTTGGACAAGTATTTAAAAATAACTATTTATTTAATATGTAAGTTATTTATAAAGTGTATTCCTTAAATATGGAGTGATTAGTGATTTCATGATGAGGAAATGATGATAAATACTTACTAAGCTGTAGCATTTAGCAATGAATTCTGTATTTGCAAAGTTCCTAGGAACAGTGTACTCACTATAAAAAAAATAAGAAAAAAAGCCTGGGGCTCTTCCAAAATCAAATCATTGGTTTTGCCCTTTCTTGGCTTGATAGTGACTGACAAACTTGATGTCTTTAGTACCGTATGATTTAGCTTGTGTTAGAGGTGCCTAAATAAATTTAATTTTGCTTAGTTGTCTAGCCATGTTTCAGAATGTTCAGCTTTCAATAAAAAGAATAATCATTTTATATATATCTATATGAAAACTTCTGTAGTTATCATACATTTTTTTTCTGCTGTGGCCATGATGGTGATAAATTTGCAATAAATCTTAGACTTGCAGCTGATTCAGGTCCTCATTTGTTTTACTGTTAAGTCAGGAAAGATAGAAAAATCTCCTTTAGAGAAATTTGAATTTTATTCAGCCCATACATTTCCAGTCCAAGACAGAAAAAGTGCAATATAGGCTGCTGTTAAAGCCCTGCTTTAGAATCATGATAAACTGAAAGAAATACTCAATACATTTTTCTTCATGTGCTGATTGAAAAGCAAAGCAGACCTTCCAGATTTTCTTCCATTTGACTTTAATGCTGAGCTTTCCTATTGAAACAGGAAAGCCAAATTCAGCTTCAGAAAACAGGGAAGCAGCCAAGATATAAATATATCTTGAATAATTCTGAATGAATTTATTAAAAATCTTCCACTCTTGAAACTTATTGGAAGAAGTCTGTAATATGGAATATAGATTTGACAGGGAAAAAAAAGGCATCATGAAAGTGACAAATCTGTTTGTCATCTGCCTAGGAATACTTTGTAATTCAAATAATATAATCAGGGAGTGCAGTGATAGAGACATGGAACACTGCAGGGCCAAGGATAAAGTCCTGTGGGACATCAGCTGCAAGTGAAAAAGGACTCAATTAAGGATGGCTGTACTAAATAACGAGTGAATGGTCTAAAAAAACCAATGTTTGCCAGCACCACATGTTGGCTTTACTCACACATCCAGAGTACAGTGAATCAGCAGGAGTGATTCTGAGCATTCAAGATAGAAGACTGACAGCATTTCATTAGATCAAAGTGATGAGCATGTGAACAATTGTCATTTCAGGTGATTAATCAGAGGATAGCAGTTAGGAGGTGTCTCCAGTAAACAGTTATAAATCCACTCTGGCAAGGAGAAAAGCAAGTTCTAACTTTTGGAGATATTTGCAATACAAGAAACCCTCTGGGAATAAGTTAATTGAGCAGATCCTTGCCAGATGTCATAAGGAAAAAAGGGCATTTAAAGACACCTGGAACTGCTGCAGGTGAAGCCTGGAAAAGTGGGGAAATGAATCTAACCAGAGGAGTAGTCCTGTAGGTTTTTATTTTGGAGAGCCCATAGAAAATGAGCTAGATGGCTTGTCTCTTGAGCTATGATATTAATTTGGTTTCAAATTTAATTTGGTTTCAAATTTATTTTAAAATTCTTTGATTAATTTGAATGTTAGGAAGATACAGGAGTATGGTTCTAGTAATCCCAAGGTGAATATCCAGCAGCCCATTGTTCTGCATCTAGGAGCCCCCTAGTCTGGTTTTCCCTACTTTATTCACTTTGCATTAGTGTTTATTAAAATTACCTCAATTTCCCATCATGGGGGGATTTTAAATCTTTTAAAAGATTTGTAATGGTCTGATTCCTCATCATCTGCTATCACTTCATGAACAGCACAACTTTCCAATTTATTTTTGTTCAAATATACAAGGGTCATATTCTTCATCTGGTCTCTTTAATCAAATTATTTGCCTAATTTTATTTGCAATCTGTGTAGTCATATGAGCCCGAGGTGGAAACAACCAATTAGATCACACTGTCATTCCTCTTGCCAACATGGAGTATAATCCCCCAGACAGGGACATGTGCTTGATTTTAGCCAAAAGCTCAGAAGAAACTCCTGATCTTCACCCACTGAAATGTAACCTCTCATCTGTTATTAATCTATTTTCAGCAAATGATTACCAGAACATCTGGTCATGCCCAGTAAATTTTTCCTTCCTTCTCTTAAGGCTGACTTCCCCAGTGGACTGATGGAAGAGAGATTCTGCAGCTCTTTCTGCTCTTTAAAATAGCATCGGTCCACTGAAGAAATGTTAGCTGAAGGTGAGGGAGTGATTTTTATCATTCATGTTGCACCTATAGGGGAAATAAGAGCAAAGTGACTGCACTAGTCATAGGATTTCCATCTAACTTTTTATTTTTGATTTTTAATCAGGAAGCATAAGAACACATTCAGCAAACACATGTTTGGGGTTTACATAAAGATGGAAGCAGCTACACAAAGATCATTAATCTTGGCTTTAATGAAGCCTTGAATCAGAGGATCACTGAGGTTGGAAAAGAACCTCCCAAGATCTTCGAGTCCAACCTTTAACCAGTCACCATTTTGTCATCCAGCCCAGAGCACTGCCACATCCAGTCATTCCTTGGACACCTTCAGGGATTCACCATCTCCCTGGGCAGCCCCTTCCAATGCCTAACTACCCTTTCAGTGAAGAAATTCCTCCTGAATATCTTCTTGTGTCTACTTCCATGCCTTTCTCTAAGGGATATCATCTGACAGTCTGTGTTCAGGAAGATGATGGCAGAGGAGAGTTTTCAGGAAGGTTTTGAAATCTGAGAAGGCAGGAGCTGTTTGGATTTTTGTCAAGGAAATCCCCTCAAAGAGGAGGTGCAGTATGGGAGATGGTGTGACAGCTGGTCATTGCCTTGATTTCTCTGATATTCACTTTCTAATCTCCCTCCCAACTTTTCTTTCCTACATTTCCACAGCAAGCATTTATTCCTGTGATTTACTGGTACAATTTCTTTGTGTGCCTTGAGGAAAATGCTGTCTGAACCTTCCTTCATTTAATTTTCATGTTTTTCTCAGGGGTGCTACTTTCTGCTCTCAGGGTTCCTTTCTGTAGCTCCAATGTGCTACCAGGACGACTTTTGCATGGCTTGCAAAAAACTGGCTGTGCCAAAGCTGCTTTGGGCATTTTATGCTTCTGGCCAGCATAACCAATCATTTACATAAACACGAGGCTCATATCTCTTACAGAAGTTAAATTTTTATGTTTTCTTTAGGTTCGCTATTCTAACTGCAGATATTTAGGGCAACAAATGTTGGGCCTGATTCGCTGTAAGGAACCACTGATCTGATGAAGTGTCTGGAAAATAGTTGGGCAAAATGGAAAATGAGAACTAAAGCAAAGTCCACCCAGAGCAGGATAATTTTATTTTATCTTGTTGCTTCAGATGGACACAAAAGCCCACTAAAGAAATCAGATCCTTTCTCAAATATCAATGTACAAAAAAAAGCGGTATCTTGGGCGTTTCTCATTTACATAATTCCAAAATCTGGACCTGTAGCTTTCTGTCATCCTGGTGCACACACAGCTACACTGCAGGCAGTAGATTAATGGATTTTAGAGCATAAAAGATTCAGCTTTTAAGGAAAATGTCAGTTTGCTGTGATTGTTGCCTGCTGCTGGATGATTTTGTTGGAGCTGACAACTTGAGATATTAGAACTGCATTGTATTCAAGAATATTTAAATACATTTTTTCCCTTTTTTTTTATGTTTCAGAACAAGAGCCAAGGAGTTAGTTTTGTCCGTATACACGCGCCTTGGCAAGTCCTCAGTCGAGAAGCAGAACTCCTTAAAATAAAAATGCCCACTAAAAAGGTAAATATCTCCCATTTTCTATCAATATGTTTTATGATTGAAGGATCAGAATCATCATTGAATGTATAGAAGCCCATGGAGTTCTTTTGTTTCAAAAATCAGAGAAAACTAACTGCAGACTTATTTTTTCACATTTCCAAGTCTTTTGAGATGATTAACTGTTCAGAGCTATATTTAAGAGGGGATTTCCAAAGGGGTTTTTAAAGGCCACAGAGGCAGCTGGCTGATGGACTGCATTCAGAAGGGTGATGACAGAGGTGAGTGTTAAGGAGGGCTTTGAAAGCTGAGAAGGCAGGAGCTGTCTGGACTTTTGTCAGGGAAATTCTCTCAAAGATGAGGGGTAGTGTAGAAGATAGTATGAAACTGGTCACCGTCTTAAGACTTCTCCAAAGAGAGAGAGGCTCTTCCCAGAGAATCTGTTTTGGTGGTATCAATGACTTAGTGAATTCAGATCTGGCTGTTGTCACTAAAACTTCAGCAAACTCTTCTTTTCTGTCTGTTTTCAGAAGAGTTGCTGGCAAATCTTGTAAATTCCAAGTAGCAAAGTCCCCAATCTGTGTTCCTGAAATTATTTAGTCCATTGGTTAACAACTCCACTAGAGTCAGGGGAACTGCCTTGTGCTTTTAGTTAGTGATACTCATCAACTGCACTAAAGAACATTTATTTCTTTGCATTGTCATTAGAAATAAAGGAAAAATTGATTTTGTTTTCTCCCACTGTGTTGATCTTTGAGTTTTTCATCTTGTTTTAACCCACCAAAAGCTTCATTCTGGTTCACATTTCATGCTGTTACAACATGTCATTATCAGAAGACTGCCCAAATCAATCTTGCATACTCTCAATGTGTTTGCATCCCAGGGGAAAAAAAAAGGATATTTCCAATCAATCTTTGAAAATGAGTAGGTTTTAGACAGCTACAGTACTCCTAGAAACTTTCTACATATTTACCTCCTCTCTTCGATCTCTTCCAAAATTAATTCATTTTATGCATTTTTAGTGCCTACTTATTTCTCCCTCCTTCTGCTCTTATGGGAATTTTCTCATCCAAGTTTCTTTCAGATGCACCAAAGTAAATTTTACACTATTTTAATTGATGAGTATTGCCATCATTTTGACCTGGTTAAGGGCTGTCCAGGAGCTGATAATCTCTGATGGCACCCACCTCATTCACAACAGTTCTGCATCCCCCCTCTCTCCTCTGATTGGGAGAAAAAAATCTTCTATTACCTCCAAAAATAAAAAAATCCTCTCTTATCTCTAGCTGCAGAAATGGCAGCATTACCAGAAACAAGCTTGACAGAAAAGCTCTATTCATATCCTAGGGTTTGGGTGTTTTTTTGAAATTAAAAACAGTTGGAAGAGGAATTTCCTTTGAAAGAAAAGAAGTCCACTTTGAAAAAACTGAAATCTTGTATTTTGGCCATATAAAGTAAAAAAATTCATTCAGTAACCACTAAAAGGAAAGTTCTGGTTCTGTTCAAAGATACAAAATACTGCTGTCAAGGCACCTTAGGAATTTTCTGTGATGCTATTTTTATTTATTTAAGGATCATACTAAACCATTCAAAAAAGGCATTTTCAGGGGAAAGTATTAATCCACCTCTAAACATGAATTGGTTACAAATATTTTTTCCTAAAACATTCTGTTTTAAATAATCTTTCAGAATATAAGGCACGCTGAGCAAAGATACCCTCTGAGCCCTTTTAACTATATATAAACTTCTGGATATGATAACAGAGCTATTTTGGTGAGTGAGACTATGCCAGGGTCAAATATGAGTATGGGAAAAAAATAGGAACAACTGGGAGGGCTGCTCTGTGGCCAGTGCTGTGATGTCTCCAGCTTTAGTGAGTCTTGGGGGATTGAATCCTGTGACTGGAGTGCTGGGATAGGGAAGTAGTAAAGGCTGTTCAGGAGGGATAGGCAGAGATGGAGAGGTGGAGGAGTTGTCCTGTATGGAAGGGAATAGCTGCAGTTAAGGGATTATAAGACTGACATCTTCTAGGTGAGGGTTAGGGGGATGGAAAACAACGCAGATGTCATTGAGTGTTCTGTAGGATTGATGAATCATTCCATAGGCAAGCAGGAGAAATTTCTTGTGCTTGTGGGAAATGGTCACTTTGCAAACATTAATCGGGAGTGCTGTGACAAGCAAGTCTGAGAAATTCCTGAAGGGTGTTGAAGATAATACTTTGCAGATACTTTGAAGATAATGCAAGGATTCAGTGAGCCAATGAGGAAAAATGGTCTCCCAGACTGGATACTTGTGAACAGAGAAGGACATATGGGATATGTTGGTCTCCCAGACTGGATACTTGTGAACAGAGAAGGACATATGGGATATGTGATAGTAGGAGGTTGCCTTAGCTACAGAAACCATAAAATGGCTGAATTTAAAATATTCACTCTAATGAGAACAAAAAAGGTCAGCAGAAGTGTTGCTCTAGGTTTCAAGAAAGTAAACTCAAAACCACCCAGGGAGCTACTCAGCACTGCTCCCTGGGAATCTGCTTTTGAGTGCTCCATGAGTGCTTGATTGAACAGGGAATTCCTCGTGGAGCTTGAGAAGAAAAAGCAATTTTGCATCTCTAGCAGCAAGGCCAGGCCTCGCAGGAAGTTTACAAAGCTGTGGTTTGCATATTCAGAGAGAAAACACAAAAGGCCAAAACTTATCTAGAGCTCAAACTGGCCAGTATTGTGCCACACAATTAAAAGACTTTTTAAAGTATGTTAATAACAAGAGAAGGTGTGAGGAAAATATTGGAACAATCCTTGTTGAAAATGGTCACCTGAAAAATAGGAATGATAAAAAAGGGGCTTTCAATGCTTTTTTTGCCTCAGCCTTTAATATTAATTGTCTTTGACTGCCTGATCCTGAGGCAGAGAACTGCAGCTGTGGGAACAGTTTGTGGCTTTCCATTTGTGGCCACTGAATTTTTAAGGGCGCATCAGTATCCACTAGATGTCCAGAAGTCCATGGGGCCTTATGAATTGATCCCACAGTACTGAAGGAATTAGCAGGACCCATTCAATCCACTCCCAAAGGTCTTGGTACTTGCTGAATGGGAGCTACTTGGTGTTACTACAATTTACACAAGGGAAGAGCCAGGAAATGAGATCCCTAATATTCCAACATCAGGACTTGGAATAATTATGGAGAGAGTCATACCATGTGCAGCAGAAAGGCATTTGAAGGACAAAGCATTCCTCAGGCACAGACAACAAAGGGAAAGTCCTGGCTAACTAATTCTGTATCCTTCTACTATAAGGTTCCCTGCCTAGTGGTTGAGAGGAAGGTAGTAGATATAACTAGTTTTTTTCCCCTGGATTTTAGTAAAGTTTTTAATATTATTATATTTTAATATTATCCTTCTGGACAGGTGGTTTAACTGTGAGAAGAGCACATACCTGGAGCTCTGGGTAAAGAACTGGTTTCCTTTTTTCTTGTATTAATAATTCTGCTCTAAGGGTTTTTTTCCTGGAATTAGCTTGTGAGGGAAAAGAACTTTTTGGAACTGCAACCCGTATGGATTCAGGTGCATATACTTATATGGGAATATGTCTTCAGAGAAGGCACTTCTTTTAATTACAGGTTTAAACATATGTGTACAGCAAATTATTTTTTTTCCTGTTGCAGTGTGATGCCATTTCCTGTTTCACCTATCCCAACCCCCCAGGTGTGCCAATCTCTCCTTTCCCCTCCCCCTTTGCCCTCCTGCTGAGAGCTGTCCATCAATCTTAACATTCCAGCAGGGTTATGGTGTGGTTGGCAGAAGTTCAAAAGATGCCCCTCAGGTTCGGGCTCATTGGCCTGTCCCAGTCTCTTTATCCCTTGAGCCTTCCCCTCCTCCCACCTGGTTGGTGCCTCACCTGTCCCTTCCCCTCCTCTGTCCCCGGGCTTAAAAGGAGACAGGACTATGCGGTCGGTATTCTGTTGGGAGCTGTTACAACGTTCAGAGGTCTATTATCCTGGAATAAAACTCTGGATTAAAACTCTACAATAGAATCCTCTCCTGTTTCTCTTCACCATCGCCTGAACCTTTTCCACCAGAGGTGAACTGAGTTTCTACTATGCCTGGATTTGTTCTGAGTGCCCAGCTGCAGCATCCAGCCAGCCAAAGGTATCTCTGAGTTGAAACACCACAGCTGCTGCCTTTGGTCTAGCAGCAAGGGTCAGACGAGGCCAGGCACGTCCCACCCGGAAATATTTGGATTAATATTCCTATATTTTCCTTTATTTTAGTGTAATTTTGAAAGGGGCAAACTAATGTACAGTTTTATTTCTTCAGATGTATGAAATCACAGAAGAAAAAGGAATACTCAAAACGTTAAATGAAATATGGTGCAAATTCACTGAACCTCTGCAACCCCAGGTGCCACAGCAAGAAAATACCAAGATGAAAACCTTGTCCTACCCATTTTCCCGAGAGAAAATATATTTGTGAGTACTTTAAAATGTGATGGACTGTGAATGTGACAGCCTGGTCAGAGAGTGAGAAAACTGGATAAGTTTTCTCACAGTGGACATGTGAAAATTTTAGGGAGTTGTAGAGAAATGATGATAGCTTTTTATTATAAACAACCTGCAGGTGGGGTTTTCCTGCTCTGTTTTCCTGTTTTTCTCAAAGATTGTTTATAAGAAAGGTGTTTTTATTAATTAGCCAATCAGGTGAAATGTATTGGATCAGTCTATTAAAAGAGAGAATTTTTGTGTTAAAGCTGCTGCTGTGCAAACCAGCCTTCTGGTGAGTCTGTGTCATTTCTTACTCAACAGTGATAATGGACAATGAAGAAAGCTGGAATGTATCATTTTAGAGTTGTAATTTCTTTTTCCCACATTTCAGTCAAAATTCAGAAGTTCATCAAGCATATCTGGAAATCCTGAGGGAACATCCAAAATTGTCAGTTTTTCAGTGGATTAACAGAAATACAAGCTGCAGAGACTTTCTGCCAGTGTTCCTCTTACTTCTGTAGGATAAAGCACTGGAAGCAGTGCATCAAATAAATGTCTGTATGTTTAGCTTGAAATGTAGAAATCCTCCCAACAAATTCCTGATTATTTGGTTAAGGATATTACTGCCTCTTTTGAAAAAAGCAGGAGCTAGTAGAAATACAGCAGTGTTTTCCATCTTGATAGATTCATTGTAGCAATTAAAACTCAGCTAATAATATGCAGCTAAGGAGTACTTTATGTCAGCTCTTTCACTCAGAATAATATTTCTGGGCCCAGTTTGACATGAAACACTCTTTTTTTCCTTCTGGGTGTCTCCTTGTATTTATGTCCGATAAATAAAATTCAGTAATAAATACAGTGACCCACCATTTCATTTATTGCCCTCTGACAATTCTAATTAATTCTGAATATGAGTCAGATGGAGGAGAATTGATGGTTGATGGAGGAGAATATACTGGGAAGCTAATTTCACATATGATGATTTTGAGGTTTAAGGGAAGGCATAATTGTGGTGGAATAGTTACTTGAAATCAAGTGAAATGCTGACTGTTCAGTGGCCAAGAAAAGAGTAATGAATATCTGCATCAGGCTGGTTGAAACCTACTAACACAACCTCAGTATGTTATTGTGTTGAGGGCATGTTATAAGAAAAATATTAAAAGGTCATCTTCTGTAAACAATAGAGAGGTTCTTCTTCCTCAAAAGGTATTTTATATTAGCTAATAATTTTGCATATAAATGCCCACCATCAGTGCAATCCTGGTAGAGCTCTGAATGATTGGGTCTTATATAGCACATTCTGTTATGCTGTGCTGTGTAATCTGTATTCCCTTTAAACATCTACTTTTCTGATTAGCTGTGGTTTCTGAGTGACTTCTAAATTAGGATTTTATATGCTGTCTTACGTGTTGCTTCCATGTCTTAAAACAGAGCTGATTTTATTTTTTCTCAATGTTTTAGGTATAACATCAAAGACAAAGATACCTTTTTTGACAATGCAACCCGCAGCCGAATAGTAAGTTAGTAAAAATAACATAGCCGTGTCTTCTTGTCCTGAGTGGGATTTGCTAGTGGGGTTTAGAATGGGATTTACAGGGAGTGTTTTAGTTTCAGCTTTGCTGTTTTCATTAATTTATGCATTTGTGTATTCTTGCTGAATACTAATTCCTGACATATGTATATAAGGACTTCCTTTCTGGAGCTGCAGGAGTGGGAAATGCTCTGCAGGGAAGCTATTGACTCCTCTTCAGTGTTCAAAGCTCTTTTCAGCCCTACTCCTAATCTTTAACTAGATTTCCTGCCATATAGTTCTTATACTTCAAATACTTCTAAAAGGACACAACACAGCAGGCTTTAGCCCACAAATGTTAGGGCAGATAATCCAGTCATAAAAACTGCTAAATGATTTAAATATTTGTGCAAATGAACACGGCAGAAACCACCTATTTTAGAACTTTGTTTTATTGCTAATTCCATTATGAAATTCATGCTAAAAAGGATCTGTGTGTTGTCCCACTGTTCTTTTTTGCAGGTGAGGGAAATTTTGAAGCGCACATCCACAAAGACCAGAAACAGCATGGGTAAGGTGGAGGAAAGAGAATTAGAGGTGTTCTTTTGAAAGGAATTTTGTAGGTATCTCACAGAATATTGATTTTTCTGGCAGGACACAAAATATGCTGGCACATCTTCCCAAAAGAAAAAAAGTTAGAGATTGAATGAAATTTTTTTTCTGAGGCATATAATCAGAATTTATAGTTCATGGTTTAGATGGTAATGGGAGCTGGCTTTTCATTTCTACAGGTGCAGCATCTGGCACACTACTCACATTTAATGAATTGTTATAAAATTGGATTTGATTACTCTATGATCTGCTTTGGAAAATTCAGATGTCAACTGCAATATGTTGTATTATTTCTTGCAGGACCACATTTTTCTTGCCATTTCAATTGAATAATTCACCTTTCCAGGTTATTTTTATTGCTTCAGCTTTAAAAATTACCTCCCTGAGCTGCCTAGTGAAATATATGACTTAAATATGACTGTTTTGAAGATACTTTTGGGATAATGCTGAAATATTTGGAGCTTGACGTTCAGAATTTATTTAATTTTCTTGAAGTTCAGAGTTTATACAGGTGTACATATTCTCTTTTCTCTACTCTTTTCTCTCACCCTTTGTGAGATCATGGCACATGTGGAAAAGAAGTGATCGTCCTCCCTGACATATTTTCTGGAAATCTTTCTGTAAACTTGGCTACCTATGGACAGATCACAGTGACCAAGGGTAACATTCCTGGCAAATAAAGTGCTGCAGCAAGATTCTGCACAGTCCTGGTGTGATTTTGGGCAGGGCAGCTCCAATAACACATTTTTGGTACAGGAAAATAGATTAATTTGGGTTTCTTTGAACAGGAGATAGATTTTGTTTTAATTACATAAAAAGCATGACAAAATGAAACACACAAAAAATGCTTTTTCTTTTTCAACCAAAACCACTTGCCTTTTTCCAGTATAAACTTTTAAATTTATGACTACCACACTGTTTCCTTTTAAAAAATATTAAAATATGTTTTTAAAAATGTCGGGCATTCTCAATTTCTAAAACATTTTTTGGCAGTTGCTGCTTTTTAAACTGTTTACTTGGTGGTGTTCTATGTTTTGATCTGCTCAAAAGTCTCTAGTAGGGCAATAGAGGGGAATGCTGCCTTATTTTTCTGGAGTGCTGGGAACCCTCCTGGAGACTTTGGAATTTTCTTCAGAGAAAACTGGAGAGAAGCTCAAGGACAGAGTAGGAAGGGACAGAGCACTTGACAATGGAGATATTTGCCTCTTAAGGTTTTCTTTACTTTAATAGCTTGTTCTGGTTCATAGTGGAATAAAACACATCATTAGAGATCAAAGGACTAGTAAATAACTTCTCAGGAATTTTTTAACTCTAGCATGAAAATACAGCCTGATGCACTTTAAGCTCAGGCCAGCTCAAGAAGTCATTTGACATGAAATAACTATTTTAGCATTCCCATCCTTTCCATCTTTCTGGTCTGTAGCCAAAACACGATTGTGCATCATGTTTGACCTAAACTCACTTATTCCTTTGATCTTCTGAGATCCTCCCCCAAAAGACCTCTGTTTCATATGTCATAAGGCTTTCCCATCTCACTGGTCTTAAGCATAAAACCACTCATCAGGAGAGGTTTAAAAGATTTTTTAAATTTTTTTTTCTTTTATTATTAGAGTTCATTGCTTATTTTGCACAAGAAGCAGGACAGTGATGTTGGAAGTGCTTATAGCAGTCTGGTTTTATACACCTGTTTTATGAAATTAACAATACTTCAAACACTGCTTATGGATTTTTTTACATCTGTGTAAGGCTGAACCTGATTCTGCTCCTATGATATTAAAAAAGGAAGGCTTATTTTCTTCTAGCATAACTCTGAGTCACTGTAAACTTCCAAACACTGAATGTTTTCAGGAGCAGGCTTGTCACTATCAAAGCATAATTTCCTGATTCTATGAATGCATGTAATTGTACTTGTCCTTCTGTGAAGGGAGACATTTATTGGTACTGCCTGTCTAGCATCCCTGACCAGAAGGTTTCTCCCAAATATTTCAGGACAATGTGTAATTTGACTGTGGATTTTCATCACTAAAGACATGATAGCTGGTTACTTGTTTTTCTGGGCATTGAAAGCAGAGAAGCCTGGAATAAATTTATATATCTATGTTTTTCTATATAACTAATAATTAGAAATTACTCATCTTGGGTTGCCTTTTTATGGAACAATTGTTTTCACCTCCAGGGACTGGATATGGAATTGCTGTAAGAGTTGCAGGTCTTGAGAGCCAGTAGGGATCTTGTGTCTGTGTACAGGTGCTGCAGTCACTGCCTGGAATTCCCTTGCAAAACTAAATTCCCTGAAGTGCCCATGGCCAGGTTGGATGGGGCTTTAAGCAACCTGGGATGGTGGAAGGTGTGCCTAGGGGGCAGGGACTGATGGATCTTTAAGGTCCTGCCATCCAAACCATTCTACGATTTCATAACCACAAACTTCTGTGGAAGTTTTTGTGGGGGTTGTTTTTAATTGTTGGCCAGTGGGATCTGTAGTTGTGACCATTGTAAAGATTCAAGAAGGACTTCTCAATGCTTTGCTTCTCAGTCATGTGGCTCTTCGCTGTCAGGGTGAGAAAGTGATCAGAAGAGTCTTTGCACTGTGCTGTTCACTGAAGAAAAAGCATTTTATGGAAGTGAGTTTCTCTGAAAAATGTTTTCCACAGCCAGGAACCCTATGTGGCTCTCTTCTCATTCTGAATATTGTCAGTTACACAGCTCTGTCCCCTCTGGAATGTTATGAAATGGAATCTGTAATAATGTTTTCTGTTCTATTGTGCCTGTTTACCACCTGCATTTTTCTTTTTCTTTTAGGCATTGGCACGTTAATAGCAAACAATGTTTATGATGCAGCCTACCCACTTCATGATGTATGTATGCACTATGAAAAAAATCCAGTCCTCTGCTGGTGTCACTCAGGAGACATCCATTCACAGACATTCTTAATTGCTGTCTGTGACATTGAAAATCTCTTTTAAGTATGATTCTAATATGAAAATTCCCATATAAGTACATTTCAAGTTGTGACCTAAAAGTAAAATTAGTAATGTAGGAACAAGTAACCAAACATTTCTTTAATTTTTTTCTGCTTTTACATCAATTATTAAATTATTTTCTTTCTCCAGGGTGAATATGAAGGCCAAAATGATGACACGAATGAAAGAAAGGTAAAATACATAGCAAAATTTATTTCATATTATATTTAACATAATAAATGATGTTCTAAATCTCATTGTAAAGCATTAGCCATTGTACAAACAAGTAGATGTTTTAACAAATGTATGCGCTTTTGGAATTACATATTTTCCTCTATTTCTACGTTTTAAAATGTTTTCCCAAGATTTTTATAATGTCTTCTTATAAAGCATGTCAGTTAATTTAATTTGAAACTTATATCTTGAAATACTTCCAGATTCCCTCTACATAAATATACATGATTTTCAACCTGTCAGGAAGCTAAAATTATTAAATAACTCATATAATAATTTTATTTTCCTAACCAAATGCTCCTAGAGAGCTGTGGTTACTAAAATAAAATATAGTTGTACTTTTCATTTGATTGTGCACTCAACTAAATGCATGGAATTTCTAAAAATCTGGTTCTAATTATATTGTAATTAAAGTTTCTAGCTATCAAAAGACATTCAAAAATAGATCAATCCTCAAAATAAACAGTGTGAATTCAAACTCTGTTTAATATATATGCTTACTTTTAGAAATGGGAAAAAAACAATTTATTTACTAATAAATAATTAATTTAGTTTTATAGATTACTAATAAGTCATCTATTAAGATCCTTTCCATATTGTTTTATAATGTTTGCTCATTTTCTTTTCCTTGATATGCAAACAGTGGGATAAGAAATGCAGAGGGAAAATAGAAGGGAGAGAAAGGGGAAGAAGGCAGAATGAAGAAAAAGGGAATGTTTGGAAACCTCCAATATTTACTATACCATGAAGACTGAGTTCATACAAAGGAAGGTCATACAAATAAATCTGATTTCTTCAATGCTGAATTAATAAAATTTGAAAACATAATCTTTGTAGTTTTTGGTAAATAATGTTGCCATTCAGCCGCTAGATGTCTTCATGTGCCGTATACAATTTAATTTAGTGTATGGACCTTGGTAAGCAAAACAAAGTTAGAAAACAAACTATAAAAGAAGCATGTTTATTTGTGTCTGTTACTTTGAACTTTTTGTTCATGAAGGCATTATCTCCTCTGGACTTGGAGAATTTTCTCCGAGAGGCAGCTTCACAGATTACTGACTTGGAATATTTTAAAACAAATATTTTAGAGGAAAAAACTAAATGAACATCGGTCAATGGAGGAAAATTGGGTACTGTGGAATGTGGGGGGAAGAGGGCCTAGAAGGACCAGTGTCTGGAAAAATATTCCCCCTACTAGTTGTATTTTGTGCTGCCCTCTTTTTATTCTGCTTATTAGGCTCAGTTATGAAGTGTTAAGTATTAAAAACATAAAAGCTTCTTTCCAGAAATACTTCATTGATTATTCACATATGTCCCTTCTGCCTAGGCCTTGAATCTTCTGTAGTATTCCTATGCATAACATCATCTGTTTTCTATCTGAATCTAATAGTCTCAGTGTTTAATTTCCTGAAGAACCCTGATCACGTTTAAAAGAAAAGAGGGCATTTTTAAGCTTTTTTTTCCTTCTGCCCTCTTTTATTTTGCCCTCTTTGACTTATCTGTATCTTTTAATTCAATTTTCTCTTGTAAAAACCCCAAATATGAACTCAGTCCTTACAGGGTACTTGAGCCAATAGGGCAGCACAAGTAATTAAGATTTATGTACCAGTTTATAACATAAAAGGTTAATCCTTATCAACCTTCTTCAGGATTTCCTCAGAGAAAATGCACATTGACACAACACTTTTGTCCCATCCTACAAGAATTAGAAATCTGCAATGGAAACCTTAGACTGAGAGGGTTTCAGTTTTTCCTAAGACTAAAGGAATTTCCCAGTTTCAGTGTGATTTCTGCTCTAAAAAAAAAGTCTTTTTTAAGAATGGAATTGAGCAGCAGCATAATGGTAATAACTCACCATGAGTATAAACACTGGTTTAGTCTTTAAGTTTCTGGCCCACTGGCAACTTGTAGCCCTTCATTGCTGTCTCTATGTTTGACATTAAAAAAGTCCATTAGGGCTTTGTAACCCGCCTGGGAAATCCAGTCATCATATTCTAGAGCAGCATCCCTATTATTAGAAGCAGATCAGAAAATTCCTATAAACTTACAGAAAGTACCTGTTCCTAAATGGAATGCTATTTTAGACAGTTTTCTTTTTGCTCTTCAAATTCCATTCTGTAGCTGTGTTCAAAGAAGCCTTTGGGGAGTTTTAGAATCGTAATAGTTTTAACTTTCTTCTTTTGTATATGTGAGTGAATGTATTTATTAGTATGATTATTTATGAAAATAAAATAAAATTTTGTAGGTAATGCTTGGGGGTAATGGCAAGGGGTGTTTTTGAATAGGCAAGAACAAGCCTTCATATGAAAATATCCTTATGGCAGCCAGGACAATCCTCTTCAGTGAAGTCGTGTCCCAGAAACCACGGGAATCAGAGAGGGAATAAGCAAGTCTATCCCAAGTTCTTTGCCTGTTGCAGTTGAGTGTGTTGTGGTCAATCTACCCCAGGTCCTGCAAGGTTTCCTTTTATCTCTGTTCCTATTCCAGCTGGATTCCTCCTACTGCAAAAAGTTTCCGTAGAATCTGATCCTTCCTTTGAGCTCTCTGTAAGCTGTGGGGGGAATCTGCATGTCCAACAGCAGACGTAGCCTTGTGTTATGTCCCCAGCATGGGAACACAAGTGGCTTTTGTATGGGCTCTACTGGGTTTATCAGCCCCAGGAGTGCAGCAAATATTTTTCGCTCTTAGATGATTTTTGTGAAAACAGAAGGGATAACTTTTTTCAATTTAATTTTCAGACTGTTTTTTTTTCTTTCTTTCTTTGTTTCTTTAGCTGCTGTATCAAGAATGGGCAAGATATGGAGTGTTTTACAAGTTTCAGCCTATTGATCTCATAAGGTAATGTGGACTTGCATAAAACACCAAGGGACCTGGTACTGAGGTGATGCAGATTAACATTTCCACTTCAGCAAATGAAACCTTGGATTGATCAGAACATTGAAAATAATATCCCCACTGCTTTTTTTGTGGCTCTGATAATAATTTACTATAACAAAAATCCATTAACCATTGTTACCTATGCTTTTGGATAGTGTTTATTCCTGGAAGAATGTCATACTTGTTTTTGGGGTCTTTTAGGTATTGACTTGTTCAAAGGAGAGGAATTGCCTTTTACATTGGTGCATTTTTATTGGAGGGTTTGGTTACAAAATCTGGCAAATAATCAGAAGCTGGGATTCACATCATGAATCAGTGTGAAAGTATTTGACAGTTTTGAGATTGATTTAATTTTTTTACTCCTGATTTTACAAGTTTTATTCATCTGAACACATCCACATGTGTTCCCAGTGGGTTTTTCTTTTGTATATTTATAAATTTTATCTTTACAAACATGGAAGAAGTTGGCTCTAAAATAAGACAAAACAAACCAGTCATGATTTTTACGGATTTACCACGGTAATTAAAAGAAAGGCAAAACAATTTTTGTTGTATCGTATTTTGTTTGGACTATAAACACTAAGTAAAGAAAAAAAATATTTGAGTGAACAGCTGACTAGAAATATTCTTTTGTAAGATGTCTACCTAGGAAGAAATAAATGAAGATATTAAGAAATAGGAAGAAAAACCCTCAACAAATATCTGGTTTAAAATAATTTGTAATATAAGAAAGATGACAAATGTTACCATTTGTCTTTTGAATAATCAAACTCTAACCATTTTTTATTATATGATCTGCTCCTATGTGATTGCCTGCAAAAGCTGCTGTTGGTAATATGGATAGCCAATAAGTTTTGTAAAATATTTTTTTCTATTTTGAGCTAAAGCTGAAGTACTGCACATAGTTTTTCAAAGAGTAAAGCACTAACTTTTAATGTGAGAGGAACTACTCCTTATTGGGAGCAAGATGTTGCAAAATGGCAAGTGGAAGTGAGGCCATCAAACCCTACTAATGTTCTGCAAAGTTTTGAAATTTCCTCCTTTTTTTGCTTCAAAAGTTTTGTGCAAAATTTATGTACCTTTTTTATGGCAGTTACTGTGGGACAAGCTTCTGAGTGGAACAGGTAAACTCAGAATGAGATTACAGTACCCTGCTGTGTTGTTGGTAAATATTACCAGTGTTAAACTAAACTGTCACTGCCTAGAGGAATTCTCAAGTTTTAGCAGACCTGACAGCTCAGCTGAGTTAAAAATAGAGGTACATCTGCTTACACTCCATCTTAATTTGTATTTTGCTGTCTCCATTATAATGTTTCACTGTGCTGATATGATTTCATAGAAATCCTGTGGTTTAAACTTCTGTGAGAAACAGAAAAGAAGACCAAACATGTGCAATTGATTGTCTGTTCTCAGAGATGACTTTTCTTGCTTTTATCTTCCATATTTTGCTTGACTGCAAGTTTGACTGTTACCAATAAAATAAATGTGGTTTTTTTCCCCTGGGTAATGTTAGAGCTTTAGTGTAGATGTACCTGGAGAATGGCCACTCCTCTCTTTCTGCTGGTGATGTGGATTTCTTCATTTTTGTGCCATGGGGGTATCTGAGCTCAGCCTTGATGTGGGTACTTATTCCCTTAGCAGACATCAGTCACACATTGTGCTTTTTGGTTATTTACTGTGACCCTCCTTTCTTAGACTAATTAGATTGTACTCAACTTTTTTTTCTGTGGTTTTTTTTTTGGTTTTTTTTGGTTTTTTTTCTGGTGCAACTTAAGTCTAAATTTAGGCCTTGATGGACAGATGAAGCAACATCCTTTTTACTTAAAGCCTTTCCTGCCCGCTGTTTTCAATAAGTGCCCTGCTAATTTTTAAATACAGCGTGCAACATATATTTAACTATTACTGTTTCACTCTTATTCAGTAGGAATGCCAACTGAAAGTCATTCTTTAACTCAAGTGTCTATGCTGGAAGATTAGATGTGGCACTGTAGAATTATTATAGGTTATTCCTAGTGCCTCAGGACCTTCCCTCTGACCACACAGTTGTTGCCAGTTCCCAGATGATTTTACACCTAAGACAGGAACCACATATTTGTTATACTCACTCTTGGTACAGACTGGGGATTCTCTTCTAACAGCTGTAATCCTCAGGGAATTTAACTGCACAGTCAGTCTTGGAAAATTTTAAAGTTCTTAATAACAAAAGGAAAAAAAGGACCATTATAATATCCCCCAACAATTCCATTCACTCCTGTCTTTTAATCTGTAAAAATATCCTTCTCTGGCTTTATGGACTGCTTTGGGCTATAAGAAAAAGCAAATATTTTTGGCAAGGAAATGCAGCTGTGAGTAAGTAAGGTTTTCCACCAAATAAGAACACAGTGCATGTTACATATTTCTATTCTAAAGCAGAACAATTTCACTTTAAAACTTTAAGGAAATATATAAGCAGATTGTGCAAGTAATACAGTGCATATCTTCTGCTGTTACCCTACTGCACTTTAAGGCCAACATCTTTTTATAGTTCCAAGAATCTCTATAGTGAAGATTCCTTCCCAACGTGAAATCGGTCCAGCTTGCAGTTTGTCATCATTAAAGCTCTAGGTGCAGGGGGAAGTGCTGTGCCAGCATACACTCATGCTTGATGTCCCTCCTGCCAGATTTTACAGCAGAGAGCTTCCTGGAGGGGGCCAAAAGCATGTGGGACTCTGGAGCAGAGTCTGAGCTGGTGAAAAATCAACATTTTCCCCATAATTATATCTCTTTTCCCTTTCCATGATCTCATTACTCCCCACAACTCCAGTTTATTTATGAATGGCCTTTATTTTCATGGATGCCATACATCCATGAAAATGGTTTGCATTTTAGGAGTTTGATGGTAGGGCAGCACTTTTCAGCTGAGTTGTAGGAAGTTTTCCCTCCCCTCACTGGAACCTCTCATCACAGGCCTTACCCAAGTGCTCCAGCCATTGTTTATTGCAAGGCAGAAGGGTTTTACTTGTGGTGCATAAATCACCAAGGAATTTGTGTTGAATTATTCTGCTGGATACAGGCCTGTGACTGGAGTGAGATGATTTACTTACAGCTCTGCATTTCACAGACTTTGCCAGTCCTGTAGGAAGTGCTTCTCTCTGTCTCTTTTGGCAAGGGCTTTGTCTTATTTATTGTTGCTTGTATGAGAGATGGAATTTTAAACCAGTAGGTTTGGATTGTAGTGGTGAGGAAAAACAGATCCTTGCTTTCTGATAAACATAATTCCCAGGCTTCAGATCACTGTCTGAGCACTAGGATCCTCATTACCACCTAGATTCCTCTCTCCTGCAGTGGGATTTTCAAAAGCTAGATCGAGCAGGAGGTGTGTATATCTGCATCAGGACTGCAAAGTCAAGTCTTGGATGACTTAGGTTGCTGCACAACTTCCTCAGATCTCCCCCTTTGACTGAGGAATTTTGTAGGCAGCTAGAAATCAGTTTTCATCATGTTAAGGACTGTCTCAGGCTAAGTTCAGTAGTGCCTGAATGATGCCTAAAGGTCACAGCCAGACACTTTTATTTTTGAATGGACATGACTGACAGGTCCCACCCAAAATGTGTCTTTGGATGTGACATCAGTGAATTTTTATAGGAAATGGAAGTTTCTTTCAAACTAGAGGAGGAAAAGACAGAGGTGAGAGGCCACATTTGGAGACAAATTGTGCACATTTAACTATTTATCTGTATGTGAATATTTGTAGGTGTGTGTGGCTAGGAATTGCAGGGAGTAGAAAAAAGCTGCTGTATTTGGGTGGCTATAGGTCTGCTTACTTTTCTTGTAGAGCTGCTCTTAATGTCTTATCTCTGTAGAAGGTTCTGGTTGTGGCTTACAGGGCAGAGAGAAAGTTCTTTCCTGACTCCTGAGTGCTGACCAGGGGTCAAGACCGACACGTTTCTGGTTTAAGAGTATTCCCTCATGCTAAGATCTTTTGTATGAGGATCCTCTCTATCCGTAAGTTATATTAGGACAGACCATGGCTTTGTCTGATCCAGTAACATTGGACAAAACCAGGATCACAAGGGAAGAGATCAAGAACTGGGCACCACATAAAAATTATGCCCAGAAAACACAAGTTTAAGGAAAGCTTTCAATATGGCAAATCTTCCACAGTCAGTACAGAGAGCAGAAAAATTAAGATTTTTATGCCCTATTGAGCAGGGCGTAAGAAAAGGATGGAACCAGGCTCTTTTCAGCTGTCTCCTGAGACAAGAGTTGATGGGCACAAAGGAGAGTGAGGTAGAGTAGTCTGTAGTTCCATAGGTCCTTCTTCTTGTCCTTCCTGAAAATGGGGGTCACATTTGTTTTCCTCCAGCTTTTGGGCATTTCTCCCAGTTGCTGCCATAAATCAAAGGTTATCAAGAGCTGCATTGTAATGACATCTGCTAGCTCCCTCAGCCCTCATGGGTGCATTCCATCAGAACCTACAGACATATGGATTTCCAGTTTGCTTTAGTATTCCCTGACTCAATCCCCTTCCACCAAGGTGACTGAAAGATAATTTTTTTATACTTGTTTTTAATTGGAAATGATACCTCTGCTTATTAGCCACCAGACGGTGTCTATCTGACAGCAGTTACACTGTGCAAGTGCTAACAAGGACCTACTTACTAAAATAAATACATGAAATTAATTCAGGGTCTGCAGTAAGGGTTAGCTATATGAACTTGAAAAGCAAGAAAACTCTCATGAAATACTATTTATTATAAATGAAAGATATTTAGGAAAAGATGCTGGTATTTGGGGTTCTCACTCTTGTGAGATGAATAAAATCACTTTAAATGAGATGAATAAAATCACAAAAATTATCTTGTGGAAACTGGAGATTAGAGGAGTGATGAGATGCAATGACCTCACATTTGTTCAAGTACAAAAAAGGCAGAAAAGCAAGTTGTAATAGGTACTAAAAAAATAGGAAGTAAAAGACTAAG